GGTTAAGGGAGACGTCTTTATAAAAAATATCAAAAATTATTTCAATTGAAATTACATTATCTAGGATATTGGCTACTTAATATAAGAACACTGAAAAGCTTTTGGAATGAGGCTGGTTCTAATAACAAATAGAATACTTCCCTTCAACAACTCTTAATACCAATGTATTCCATTTTCAGTAATCTGAGCAGTTTCAGAATGTATACATTTTCCAGATAAGATATCAGGCCTGCCTTTGTAATTTCTGCTCTGAATACTTAATGTCTCTGTGGACCCTTGACCTCCCACCTGCAGTGTTTATTAGTCCAGAGTAAAGGTCAAACTTTGTCTTAAACAGAACTTAAACAAACAAAAAGCATAGGAAAATTCTTAATAGCTGAAACATTTCTATTAGCTTCATTCCTCAGGGCAACAACTCCAAGTTCTGGAACATGAACCCAACACCAGCTGGAGAAGTGCAACGCTGCCAACGTGTCTTCTTGGAGGATATAGCCAGAGTCGATGGGAAGCAGTCCAGCAAAATTACATCATGAATAACAGCTCAGTAACCATCCTAAATTCAGTGAATCTCAAATGAAAGACACAATGGTGTTCTCCAACCTCCACTCAGTGGCTATTTAGGAGGTGAATAGTTGTGATTATACAGAAAAAATGCAAGGGAACTTGCAGCATTCATTATGCAAGGAGACTCATTGTTAGGAAATTGCTTACATTTTTTCTGATACAAGTCACATTAGTTTCTTGCTCATCTGAGAAATGGGGTAAAATAGGTGTTGTAATAACAGCAAATCAAATAAGGAGTGGATGTGAAGAATATAGTTTCTCTGGGTAATAAACTCAGTCTGTTACAGAGGGTTTTTTTAGCGCTGACAGATTTCTGCCATCCTTTGTATCACAACAATAGAAGACACAACAAAAACTCCCTGTGCTAGACTACCAACAAGTACAAGATCATTTGGAGTGTATTAGACATACAAGGACATATTTGTGTTGCTGATCTGTCTGGATAGGCCTCCAAAAAGTTGCTTTATATAGGTCAGCCAGAGTATAGAGCGTTGCATGACAAAAAAAGCCACAGTACAGTCAAAAACCAGGTGGGTTATTTTGACCTTTCTTCTCCATTGGCCTTTTCCTATTTTTGAGCTTACTTTACTGCTGTGATTTTCTTTTTCTTGTTTGGATTTTAATTAAACTCTCCTTAGGCTTGCTAGCTTAACCTTTTCTTTTTTTTCTTTTTTTTTCTTTTTTTTCTTTTTTTCCAATTTAAGAATGAAGGAAGCCTGTTTACCAGGCCAGTTTTCCTCAAATCTTGCTATTTTATCTATAATTTAAATGTGTCATTAATGTACAATATCTAAGTAAAACTTTGTGAATTTTAATCAGGAGGCTATAACAAGATTTCCAATTATTTTGAAGCTGATTATCACCCATTATGTAACACACACATGGTTTTCACAGCTGTTCGGTAATAGAAAAATCTTAGTTTGCATCTAAGCCTAACAGTATTTAGCTCTGAACCAGATCATATTGCAAATGTTTCATGTTGGCTGCCAGGTAAGAACTGGGTCCCTACTAAAATGCAGAAGACATTTTGCTGCTGCTTTCCTTGCAGCCAAGATTTCATCTTGACACAGACTGCAAATACGAATTCTTTTCCTCTTTGCTTTTCCAATTTTCTTCCCCCACACAAATCAATCTTACACTCATTCAGCTTTATTAGGTTTACTCTCAAATCCCACTGCTGCAACTGAGAACAGAATCAGACCCAGCAATGCACTTTGCCTTCAAAATAATTAGCTGTATACTGTACGGTCCCTCATTTCTGTCCAGTCATATGTGCTGTCCGGAAAACCTATATACTGAATTTCTACAAGTTGTGCAACAGAGTCCTTTAGTTTTATATCAAGGACTACCCTGATTAGAGAGAGACTTATAAAGACAAAGCACCACACTTGGATAATTCACGTGCATAGAATCCACATACAGACCCAAAGTAATTGACCAGGCAGAGTAAATTTTTCCAATCATCACACTGCAGTTTTTAAAATAAAGTGCTATTTGCTTATGGCTAAATGTTATATATGGCAATTACATGCACACTTCAGTCTGCATTGTCAAAAACTGGAGAATCTTCAAAAAAGTATGGAGCCTAAGCACTAGGGCAATGACAAATTTGGTTGTTTTGGTTGTTTTTTTCATTTTATTTTGCTTTCCAACAGAACTTCTCTCAAACATAAAGCACGTGAACACACAACAGTTTCCTTCACTGTTTCCCACACAGAGCTGTTCACAGAGGAGGAATACTAAGAAGGAATGTTTCTAAAGCCACAAACAGCTTCACCATTTATTTCAGGTTTTGTTTTGTGGTTTGTTTCTTTTTTTGTTGTTGTTGATTTTCTTCTGTTTAACATTATGACAAAACATTATAAGAAATACTTCTTTTAAGTAGTGAGAATACCAAATAGTATCTGTCAATCCCTGAATCATGCTATTCAAAGTGCTTAAATCTATACTAAAAATAGAACAACAGAAAAGTACTCCCCATGTGGCTAAAGAAACAGCTACCAATCGTGTAAAAGTGACTGTGGTCAGATAGTTACATCCTACATTTATTCCACATCCCAGTCTTTACCCCAGGGCATGTAAAGGGGAGGGAAAAGGGAAAGAATAATGCATTGCTTTCAGAGGATACTGGGGCACTTGGCATCCAGATGAATGAAAGAAAATGCCATCTGTGCCGGACAGGTGTCTAAGAGCAAATAAATAATAGCTTTCTTACACTAGCAAAACAACCAAATGTGCAAAATTCTCTTAATTTTTTTTCTGACCTGGCAGCTTCATTTCCATTCTGTGGATGTTTGGCACATGTCCAGAGAGAGACACCATAATAAAGAACAAAAACAGATTGTAGAAAAGGACTTGAGCAAGTTGTCAGAGAAATAAGCATTTTTAAGCAATAAAAGTCAGTGCACATCCCAAAGTTCTATTAGCCTGTTATGCAGATACTAAGATTTCTTGACTTTCACAGCAGGAGCATAGTCATTTCCTCCCACACTGTCAGTTCTGGTTTACTCCCACAAACATCCCCCAAACTGCAGTTTACCCACTCTCTACCCATCACTTCTCATTAAGAAGAGCAAAATACTATAAGCTGTACTTTTCCCCTTGTGACAATCAGGACGAACAAACCCCACGCATCCATTATATTGGCCAATATCATTCAGGTACCATAAAAATACCTGAAGCTAATTAATTACATAAATAGATTATAAGGTCTATTTTCCAGGATACCAGTTACATTTCTGCCAGGGTAAATCAAACCCATGACTATATAACAGCGTGCTGCAACCAGTAACTCCACCCCAGCTCCTCTGCTTCTGCTAGCAGAGACTAGCAGAGAGCTTGTCCTGAATGTGTTGTAGAGCTACGCCACCACTCCTCTCTCTTTCTAAAACCAGAAAGGATTTTTCTGTTATTTGAAATGTAAGTATGTTTTAAATGCTTATTTCATTTGTCTTAAAGATGTACAGATGTAAACATAGTGGTTTGATTTTTTTTTTTTCTTCCCTGGCAGCTGTGGTACACACATTATTTGCAACTCCTCAAATAGAATCATACATAAAAAATAAAACTAATTTATTTATTCATTAAAGTGAATAAATCATTTTTAATACTTCCAGGTCTGATTTAAATATTAATTTTGTATAAATAAAGTTTATTCTGAAAACAAAGATATTTGTTGTTATTCATGTCATTTTTTTCTGCCTGAGTTCTTCCTGAAATCATATTGAAATGAATAAAGTTTTACGTGTCATTACAAGCTAAAACCAAATGAAAGAAGGCTTCTTAATCCTGAATATATCATTTTAAAGCAAATAACAGTTTTTGGAACATTAAAATACAAGGGGACTCTGTAATCCACAGCAAAAAATAATGTTTTGCTTTTACTTTTTTAGAAAATAACACTTTCTATAATACAAAGTGACAAACCATCTACAATACTGTCTTTTCATTCCCCTTTGGTTTGGAAGTCATGGCTGTAAATATCAGTGGGACTCTGCACTTCAGTGCCTATTGCCTCACTTGTCTTACTTGCCTGACAATTGCAAATGATCGTATTTGCAGTATTTTGAAAGGGGGAAAAGAAAAAGTTAAATGCTTAAAAATAAAATCCACAACCATATGAAAACTTTTCGAGGAAGTGTTAAAAATAGGGTTTGTTTTTATATTTATAAAAGGGATACAATAAACTAATTCTTAAAATAAAAATTAAAAAAAAAAAAAAGAAGACAAATCCAAGAAAGCAAAAGCCAAACCATCTCTAGTTTCTACACAGTCTGTAGTGACTACTGTGAAGCAACTGATACAGATTGGGTATATTCTGTTGTTTAACAGGTATCTAGCAAGTTACATGTTAGATGATCAGACTGAGGTGTTACCCCAATTAGGGGTCAGTGTAAGGGCAGGGAAGGAGCAGTGCACATTACGGGAGTAGAAATGAAACTGGAGCTCTCAGTGAGGGATGGGGTCCTTCTAAGAACAAATATTCTCCAAAAGAGGTGAACTGCAGCAGGCACGGCCTTCAGGAATCAGGCTAGACAGGCCAACAAAATGGATGGTGCTTCTGATATCAACATAGCTTTGTCCAAGCATTCCCAAGAGAGGTTAAAAACAAACAAACAAAAAGTCTAAAATTATACTAATGAAGCAAAAAATTTTCCTATCTATACAGCAGTCTCTTCATTTAAAAAAATGTAAATATACAAATTCCAATGACGTATAAAACAAAGTTGAAAATGTGAATGGGAAGAGACATGGGTAAAACAGGAAGACTGATGCTACAAAGAAATTGCAAAAAACATATGTACAAGACCCTGTTTTTCCTCGTATGTTATCAATTGTAATGCATGTTTAACAGCAGCAGTCGAGGATGTAGTTCCAGGCACCGGACTGCAGACTCAGCTCCTGCTCAAGGGGGTTGATGGCCCCTTGCATTTCGGTCACCAAATTACACTTGATATACTGGTCTCCCGTGGCAAGAGGGGCAGTATCGCACTGTTTGTGTGAGCCTCTTCGGGATTCTGCTCCCTATTAGTTTTTGTCTGTGGCCGCTGCCCGTTTATAAGTGTCATAGGGATGTTGCAGTAGGTATGCTGGTTACCTATTGAGGTAAGCGGCAGGGTGCCAGTAGGAGGTACATCGTATTCATAGCTTCGATAATAGTGTTTCTGGCGCATCTGTGAATGATATGTGTTATGAAAGGTGGAGCGTAGGTCTGGATGGGCAGTGGCAAGAGCAGTGGAGGTGGCAGCAGCCATGGAAATTGCGGAGACTGTCTGCAGTTCCCCAAAGGGCCCCTGCTCACTGACATCTAAAACCTGCTCGTGTGTGATGGGTTCAATCCTCTTAAAAGGCATTTCGTACTGTAAACGTTTCCAGAACTTGGAATTCAACTTGTTGCATTTTGGTCCATGCCATTTAATGACAGTGAGGAGCTTGATAGTATGTTTCAGGGCCTCAACCTCCTGGTAGTTCATAACTCCTCGTAGTTCACTGCATTCAATCAGTATCACTTTGATTTCGCCTGTGACTAACATGTTTCGAAGCCTTGTTTCCAGTTCAAAGATGCTCCAGCCTCTTCTTACCACATAATTTGGAGTCATGACGATGATCAGTCTCTTGCTTTGGTCTACACATCTTGCCACGTCTTCAATGTAGGCTACAAAATAAGACAAGTGCTCAAAATTCAATCTAAGAAAACACTTCACTCCCATAGACTGAGGAGAAACAACAGAGGCAAATCCTGCTCCCAGAAGAGCTCACTGAAATATGCAAAAATATCACTTGCAATGTGCCAGGTTGGCTTACCAGGACATGCTCTTGGGAAATCTGCTCCAGGTGGCCCTACTTGAGCAGGGAAATTGGATAAGATGACCTCCAGATGTCCCTCCCTTCCAACCTCAACCATTCTGTGATCCTGCAAAACAACTATTCCCCCATGCACTGTGGATTGTTAGTGTTTGTTCATGAGCTGTGGTTTTGTATAAATGTCTATCTCTTTATTGGAACAAACGTGTTCACCTTTTTTTCCCTTAAAAAAGCAAAGTCACCCAGGTAGGCAACAGACCAGCAACTATGTGATTCACTCTTAAACCTAATGATACTCTAAGGTGTACTGTAAGGATAGATTCCTGTATTCCTTTCATGACCCTGTCACATACATTCACAAAAACAGTGTTGTCTCCTTCAAATTAATGTTTAGTTTGCTGTAGATTTAAAAAATGCTCATGTAATTAGCTTTGATGTTGTACTTTGCTTATACCAAGCATACTTTCTTATCCTCAGTAAAAGATATTGAACCTAGTAGCTGTCTATATGGTTGCACTGAAGTTATGAAGAATACTAGAGCAACTTACAAAAAATTGCTGTATGTAGGCTGGAATGCACGAAAGAAACATGAAAAAGATCTACCTGTACCAGCTGGAATAAATTACGATTTTCAGCCTCTGAGAATGGTCCAGTACCTGCACTATATATTTATCTACAGTGGACACTAACAAAATTCACTACTTTGCTCTGCTGTAGTTGGTGTTATTCAGCCCTTGCCTTAGTCCAAACACAACTGTTTCCTTCCTATCTAAATTTCTGCAATAAATAGACTCATGGATATCTTTCCAGGCAAACTCTAAGGAACAAAAACCAAAGACCTCTGTAGTCATTCTTCTCAAAAATCTGTGAAAAAAATATTAGTCTCATTCATTTTCTTTACTTGTGTATTCCCTTTCTGCACTGTCTCACCTTCAATCCATATAATATTATTAATGAAAAATAATCCTCTTATCTGGGAAATAAAAATTAAGTATGTTTGGTGGTTTATCTTCATTGTTACCTAAAATGAGGAAGGAAAGATGATAATCTGAAGAAATAAGCATAGAAACAATACCAAAACAATCACTACAATGACTGCATTTGCTGTTAAGGAAACACACAAGCATAAATATATGACTTACTTCCTGTGGGAATCAAATCTCTGTCTGGTATGAACAACTTATATCCATAATGCTTTTCAAGCATATCTGGTAGGATCTCAAGAGCAAATCTTTCTTCTTCTCCAGTTTCTTGGTTCCACTGATCAGGATCCACTTTGGTATAGGATAGATATGCATCATAGTCTTTGTTGTCTACAGATAGAGAGGAAGAAAGTAAGTTAGTTTATTCATTATTCTTGCAGATTTCCTAGATAATTACCCAGGAATTATTTCTGGGAGAATTTCACAGGTATAGGAAGTTGTTTAGGTAAAGTGGCAAGCTTTCACCCAATCTCCAGATATTAATCCATTCACCTTTCCTGTTTCACCTGGTAGAGGTAATTCTTATTTACACAGATGCAAAGGAGAAGAGATCCTTATCCATAGGCTGAAGTCAATTTGTGCATAAACATTTGTAAAAGGCTCTGTATGAAGGAAATCCACTCAACTGCAGGGTGACAGCTTGTAAGCACAGAAGAAAAAATTGACTGAAGATAATCTGAATCCTTCTCTAGCTTTACAAGGGAAAAGGAAAGCAGAGAAATACCTAAACTAATGTGCAATTATCTCTTTTGCATAGTAATAACATTTCAGTCTTTCCAGATTTTTACTATAAATTTAGGGCCTGGGGCTGAAATATTTTAAGCATATCTGTGTCCTTACTTGTAAAATTCATTGGCTTTCCAGGTATGAAATTATTACCAAGCTTAAATCTTTGCAGCATCAACTCCTGATAATGCAGTTCAAATCTCTTGAATTCTGTGTGCTTAACATTGCCAATTTAATGTTGCATTAATGTACATTTCATTACTTAACTGTGTGTTATTTCATTTCAATATGAGAAAGAAATATGCCTGTTTCTTAAATGTGCTTGGTGTGCCTATTTGAAAGACTGGATCAAAAGAGCAATCATTAATTTTCATTAGGAGGTCAATAATGCTAAGTGCTCTGGAACTAATTCAGTGGAATAAGAGGTCATGTTTTGACTTTTGTTGTGAAGAAAGCAGAAAAAATCAATGGCAAGAGTAATGAAATGTTAACATCCTTCTAAGTCTCTTGAGAACATTATGCACAGGCTATCAAGAATATCAATTGCTTGTAGAAGAGACCTGATTGAATACTGTGTGTCATACGTAACGTTATATTCCTTCAATGTTGACTTCAGTTATTTACTGAGCCACTGCTTTCCTCATTTTACACCTTTTTGTACTCTGGCAACACTATGTGGAAAAGCCTGACAAATGCAGGATGGGTGCAAAGAGTATAAATGAAATTAATGAAACAATGCTAGTCTTGAACTTCTGAGGGACCATGCATACTATGCTCATTAACATTTGCAGATGATAAAATTAAAATGGTAAAACTGTAATTACTTTCAAACTTACCAAACCCGCAAAATGACCACGTGCTTATGCTCTCCCCTGTACACTTTTTGTGTGATATTATCTTTTGGATTGTTATATACACAGAAAACAAAACGAACAAAAATCCCAACAACAATAAAAAAGAAAAATAAGAAAAAGAGAAGCACTGCCTTCTGTGGTTCACACTTTCCATTATTTTTCTCTGGAGTATTTGTGAAAACATGATCCTTCAAAACAAACAAACAGCTAATGCCTTTGACAATGCCTTGAATTGACACTGAATGAATCAAGTATGAGATAGAGGGAGATTACATAGCAATTTTTTTGTTTCTGCAGTAGGACAGTGTTAACTCAGCAACTGAATTAACACACAGAGAGGTCAAGAGGTCTATGGGGAAATGACGACAACCAACAAAATGAGGATGTGGTAATGCCATTTTCTGTTGTCATCTTAGTAATGGTCACGACCATAGTATATGCCTGAGAGCAAGCGTTGCTCTGATGAAAATCTTTGAGTAAAGATGAGAATGTATAACTTCTCAAAGGGATAAATAATAAGAAATAATACAGTGTTCAAACTGTTTTAAAACCTCAGAGTACTGTCTGTTAAGATGCTTTGCACATTCTTAGTTAGAGGGAAAATTATTCATGCTATGCCACTGTTTTCTTGCATATGTAAACATTACACTAATGCATTTATTTGAAATATACATTTTTCATACCATGGAGGCTCCAGCATTTCCACTGACTACAACTGCATTATTCTGTATTGCAGGGAACATTTCTTTCCACCCTACTTCCGTAGTTTTAGTAACATTTGAAGGGCTATGAATAGCCAGGATCCAGGGTAGGTGTACACAGATGGGTTCAGGAAATCATTAATTTATTTAAACTCCATTCCAGCAAGATGTGTAGTCCAGCTTGGGAACTGCTAGATGCATTAACACAGTGGTTTCCCTCAGCTATTATACTCCCCATCTGTCAGTTATTTTTAACTTTTGATTAAAAGTAAAAAGTTCAGTTTACAGGAGAATTACTTTATGTGCTAATTTTGTTTTCTGATGGGCTTACATACTGGCATGAGCAGAAAATTTGCAAAATGTGAAATGCCTGGGATGATCACATGTGCCTTTGTTTTACTTCTATGATATGTATGTATTAGCCTGTTTTTAGTTAATTAAATTTATTTGGGTTACATTGTCAACTCTGTGAAACATCTTAAGAACTACAGCAGACAGATAGCCATCTTTTCTGTTATGTGATCAAAGAGCAATGGCATTATTTACTATTTTCACTAATTGTTATAAACATTAAAAAAAAAGTAGAATTTCAGTTGTAATGAAAAATGGGAGAAGTTATGAAATGGTTGAACTCTCCCATCTCCAGGGAAGTATTTAAACACACAGTAGATAACAACTCTGAGTGTGGTTCTTCTCAGTTAAATGGTCCCACCTACCCTTGCTTGTAATGTGTGGAACTGATCCCTACATTCTAAATAACATTTCTGATCTTAATTCATAGTTTTTTAACATGATGTCCCAATGGACTGAGAGGGAGAGATGGGAGCCTGCAGACATCCAGATCTTACGGCTGAGTCAAACTGGGAGCTGGGGCTCACATCTTGTCAGTCTCTTGGCCATGTCACGTGGAAGCAGGAGGCTCTCAGCTTTGCTCTCAAGCTCTTTGCTCTCTGGCTGTTTTGCATGAGAGCCTTGCTTTGAGCAATGCATCCAGGAGTCCCCAGACTCCTAGCAAGCATGCAGGAAGTCCATCACAGCTTTGTGTTTTCTTGATCATTCACTGGAACAGGTATTTTACCCATGAAAACATTTAGTGTCAGCATATCTACTTTTTCCAAGGAAAAAAACATTTAATCAGAAAATTCCCGATCTGCTCCTAATCACAAATCAAGTAAGAAAGGATTTGATATTATGACTTATTATGTAGTACAATAATTACAGATTTGGCTACACAACAAGTTCAGACACTGGCTACATTTAATATTCAGTGTCAGAAAAAAAAGTACAAAAATACAAATTCAAAACAAACAAAGCTGATGGTAAACAGCTTTCTTTAAAATGAGAAATTCCTTATTTCCCTTCATCAGCAAACAATTAAGTCTCCTATCCAAGCGTCCTTGGAATGAAAAGGTGATTGGTTGTTGCTTATACTTTGTCTTGAGATATAGATCATATAATTTCAAAGACTTTTTTCTGTCAGGCTTCTCTGTATTAACAAAAAACTAGAATATAGTTACTCACTACCTGTTTCCTCCCACACTTAGGAAGAAAAATACCCACTAATAACCAAAGGTAAGGATGTTGATCATTTAATCTGAAACTTTTTTTCTTTCTTGTGGAGATAGAAAGCAACTATCTACATATACTTTTGCACATGAAAGCACTGTTATTCCCTTAACCATTTCAGGGTTTTTAATTTTTTTATTTTTAAACATAACAGAGTAAGTTCACCTTGCATTGCCTCCAGGTATGTTGTGGAGCTGTATTATGTAATAGCTGTCCTTTAATTTAGTGAACACAGCTGAGTGTGACACACAATACATGCAACAGCAGTACTTTGAAACATTTTGGTCTAGTAAGTTTCTTCCCATTCTTTGTGAATGGTCAAGTAAAACTCAGTTATGTGGTTTTCAGTAGTTTTCTGTTGCCTACAGGTAGCATACAACTGGGCTCTTCAACTCAACATCATCCATTTCTGTGAAGTTTTATTGTATCCATTAACTGAAATTATTGAAACAAAATCTAAAGCAGAGCTTGCGTGGCCAAATTCAACCAGACGAAAACAAAAATTCTTTATTATTGTACTCTAGACATCCAAGAGAGTATGTAGAAGCTCTAGAGTAGTTCATCACAATAGGGTCAAATACAGCCTGTGCTCAAGGTATTATACATTCCATCCATGAGTGTTTCAGTCAGCCCAAAACCATTGATACTCTGGTCCAAACAGACTGTGAGGTACAAACTTTAACATATCATTTTAATTGTTCTTTGGAGTTGAAAGCAAGGACACTGAGTAATGGTCATTAGCTGAACTCAGCCACAGGTCTGAAAAAAATTGGTTGGATCAGTCTTAGGGGCTAACATTGAGAGTGAAATCTCAGCTTAATTAATAACACATGGAAACATTACTTCATTTATTGGCCCAGGATTTTAGCCAAAACACCTGTTGCATCATTACAAAATGCATTCTTCAATGCAATCCTTTCCTTTGGTACTCATCCAAATGTTGCATATGTTATCATACTCCCAGTAATTTTCTACAGTGTTAATCCAGCAGAAGTGATATAAACTTTTAGAGGATGAAGTTGCAAATGCTGCTTATTATTCCAAGGATGTGCTCAGCAGCAGTCAATTAAATGCTCAATGTAAGCACAAAATGAAACCCAGACTCTATATGCATCTACTTTGTCACATGCAAATAGAATCTTTGGGTAAGAAAATTGCTATCAGACATCTAAGAACTCATCTGTATGCATGCTCTTTCAACAGCTTCACATGAAGAAATGGTAAGCTTGTGCCTACAGAAAGACAGATAAAACTTCCTCTTCCACAGGGACCATCAGATTCAACTTTGAACGTGTATTATAGATGTACATGTTTTCTAATGATTTCCATGTTGCGCTCCAAGAAACCAGCAGTCTGGGCCTTCGAGGGTTTATTAAACCTTAAACATTGCAGATATTTCTGGTAATGGGGGACAGAAAAATTATATAGATGGATGAAATTTAAAAAAAAAAAAAAATCCAACAACTTTTATAGAGTATTTTTT